CTTCTCCAGGCTGAAACAGCCCTCCTCCCTCAGCCTCTCCTCGCAGGAGAGATGCTCCAGTCCCCTCCTCATCCTCGTAGCCCTCTGCTGGACTCTCTCCAGTAGCTCCTCATCTTTCTTGAACTGGGGAGCCCAGAACTGGGCCTTCCCTTGCCTCTGTTCCCCACCCCTACAGTGGGGCTGCCCCAGAGCATCAGCTCAGCAGCATCCGGTCGCCATCTCCTTGACTACTTCTTCATGCTCTAACAGGTAAAGTCACCCCAGTGGAAGTGGCAGTTGGTCCCTCTACCGTGAGGCCAGCACAGACAGCCGAGGTGCCTGCTGCTCTCTGGGCGTTGCTGCACCTCTGCCCTGCGTGGGGTCAGAGGGCTCTGCATTGCTCTACCAGCCCTCTCCATGCACCATGGACCTGTTTTTACCTGGGACAGAGTAAATTTTCTTCATAGCAGCTTGTGTGAAGCTGTGTTTTGGATTTGTGATGAGAGCAGCGTTGATGATAACACACCGATGATTTAGCTATAGCTGAGCAGTGCTTGCACAGCATCAAGACCTTTTTTTGCTCCTCAGCCTGCCCCACCAGCAAGAAGCCTTGGGGTGTACAAGGACCTGGGGGGGGCCATTTGGGACCCCAGTTGACCAAAGGGATATCCCTGACCATATGGTGTCGTGCTTAGCAATAAAAACTGTGAGGGAGCTTTTCCAGGGCTGCCGTTGCTCAGGGACTGGATGGACATCAGTTGGCTGGTGGTGAGCAATTAGATTTTCTTCATCACTTGTTTTTCTGGGTTTTGTTTTGTTTTGTTGTTTTTGGTTTTTTTTGTTTTTCCTTTTTTATTATTAAACTCTGTTTATCAGAACTTACAAGTTTTCACGTTTTTACTCTTCTGATTCTGTACCCGACCCCACTGCTGGGGAAGGTGGGAGTGAGCAGCTGTGTGGGGCTCAGCTGCCTACCAGGGTTAAACCACGATAGCCATGGATGCCATCCTCCTGCAGGGATCTGCAGCAGGAACCTGCCTGCTGGGTGCCGAGGCTGTTGGGTTGTGTGATTAAAGGTTCACCTTCATAAATCCGATGGAGCAGAGGAATGCGGCAGGCAGGGGAAACCCAATATCCCCCTCAGAGCCAGCAGAGCCCCCAGCCTGACTGCTCCCCAGGCTGTCCCAGGAGGACGTTTGCTGACGACACCAAACTGGGAGGTGTGGTAGATACACCAGAAGGCTGTGCTGCCATTCAGCGTGACCTGGATAGGCTGGAAAGCTGGGCAAAG